GAAATTATTGTTAAATTATTTAAGAGAGTGGACAATAGCCAATGAATAGCCATTGATCTAGCCAACGATGATATACAGATAAACCAACGACGAAGCATTCGCATAGTGTACAAAACACTTGAATGCACAAACAATGATATCTAGAATAAAAGAAATAGAATCTGAAAGAAGAAATAATTAAAACCTGAAACAAAAAGAAAAAATATTAACGCGGACCTTCCGCAGTCGAAGCGACAACTGGTTCGAACTTGCATGCGGGCCCCTTATATAGCGGCGGCCGGCCGAAGATCGGCGAAAATTTCCGAACTTTACCGATTCCTTTAAAAGTTATTTTTCCGCTGTAATAAGTAATAATTTATTAACTTTTTTGACTTTTATCGTTAATATGCGTTGCAAACTACTTGTTATCAACGATTGTAATTTGTTATTAACAATAAATTTATTAATTTATTAACTTCTTGTAAGTTACGAATACATTTTAACACAAATATGTTGTTTGTTTAAGTACTAGTTAATAATTTATTAACTTTTTTACTTTTATCGTTAATATACGTGGCAAAATATTTGTCATTAACAATTTTAATTCGTTATTAACAATAAGTGTAGCAGTTTATCAACTTTATGCAAATTTTGCATAAATACGTTATATATACTAGCAATAGCCTATAATTTAATAATTTTTCCACTTGTATTGTAAATTTACGTTTTAAACAATTTGTTATTAACAATAAGTGCATTAATTTATAAACATTTTCCATATTATAGGCACATTTTAACATTGGTATGATATTTATCAAGTAATGTCCGATAATTTATTAATTTTTTACTTTTGTTATAAATTCACGCTGTGCATAATTTACTATTCACGATTTTAATTTCTTATTAATAATGAATTCGACTATTTGTACATTTTTTACATTTGTATAACGTCATTTTCGTGAATTCCGTGGACACAAGTTTTGCAGCCGTGGCGAGAAAATTTCGGCCGATTTTGCGACTTTGTATTAGGAATATATAATATGAAAGAAGGTCTAACGCCAACCGATCCAAAGAAATTACGACATTTCAAGTACATTTCAGTGTAATAATTTATAAACTTTTTGCAAATTATAGTTACATTTTGGCACAAATTCGTTCCAAGTTCAAGTCACAGCCAGTAATTCCTTAATGTTTTCACTTTTATTATAAATTTTCGTTGTGAACAATTTGTTATTAACATTAATAATTTGTTACTAACGATAAGTATTATAATTTACGTGTAATAGTATAGTTATGTGTAATTATTACTCAGAATGTGCGAACTGATGCTGATAATATTATTGGTTTTTCATTAATTACAATCTTCTATGCAATTAATTTATGAAACTTCATGCACGCTTTATAAAGACAATGTTCTTGCAAATCTTCTCATATAATTTTTTATCACATTTTGCTTCTAGTTTCGTTTAGTATTAAATATTTTCACGGAAGTCCGTGATGGTCGTCGTTACGAAATCATGGTCGCCAGCAAATAATAATTAATAACTAACAAATTAGCGTTAAATTCTTTACGAAAATTATATAAGAATGTTGCATAAAGTTCCAGCTTTACAATGAAATTATAAAGGTTCATAAATTAATTACGGAAATCGAGGAATTTATTAACTTTTCACTGTTGGAGCCCTTCTATCCTTTTCTATTCCCTCTCTGTCCTTGTCCGATACGTGACGAGCTCTTCGGCGACCTCCACGCTTATTTTTTATTCTTATTACTTTCCCGAGCATATGGTCCAAAATCATAGATGGCGTTCATCGCAGGCGGTAAAATTTTTATTTCAACTAGATACCTCTTCTGGTTATGTGTGTTAAATTAATAAATTTCCAAGTTTTTATAAATAATTCATGAACATTTATAGCTACACAGCAAAGTTGGAATTATAGGCAACATTCTTATACAATGTTTAATTTAATAATTGATACATGGGCGATAGGTTTTGTATTTTCTGTATCTAATGATTATTTATATTTTCGTTTTCTTTTTGTAGTAAATAAGATTACTATGGAAAAGTGTTTTTCTTGCATAATATTCTTATTATTTTGTAATAAATATATACTAGCGTAAGAAAGCGTAAAAAATAAATATTTTTGTTAAGAAATTTTATTTACAATTGTTTATTTATAGTGTTTTCATAGGCGAAAAATGAATACAAAATAAAATATAGATTGAAAAAAAACTACTTACTATGGAAAAGAATCGAACCCAGGACCTTTAACATGGGAATCTTCGACTGCTGTCGTTACTCCACAACTACAATTGGAAACTCTTGGAAATAAATGTATAATTAGCGCACTAATAAAAGTTTAATCGTAAATATCTAAAAAATTATTGAGTAGTTGCGGCTATAATGATCTATATTCTTGAACTGCATGACGATATCTATAAACCTGCAATGTTTCAACTAACTCGGTGATCCGAAGGATTTGCACTCTCCTTGTTAGTAGCACGAATTTCTTGCACAAATACGATTCATCCATATTTTCATATCATCTTAACAATATAAAGATTGTGTTACATGTAAAAGGAACATTATTTATAGTTATTCGTGTATAGTCTGCTTGTTACCTATCTTGCTAGTAGTAACTATATGTTTTAATGAACCAATGATGTCGCAGAAAATTTAAATTCAAACGAAAACCGAAAAACTCGTTTTTTCAAATGGCGGTTGCATTATATGAGAGTCAGTCGTCATGTAATGTAAATGGAAAGGGTAAATATTATTTGAAAAATTAACTAATAATAAAATAATGTTATTGATCATCTAACAATTCGAAACAAATAATCCGTAAAAATGTCAGACAGTATAAAAGTTGCTATTAAAGTGAGACCTTTTATTAAACGTGAAAAGGATGATAATCTAGCGATACAATGGGTAGTTCAAGAAAACTCCATTATTTCTACAGATCCAGAGATGAAAAAGCGTGGAGATGGAGGATTTGTCTTTGGTATGCAATAATTCCTTTTATATTTATTATTATTTATTTAAATGACTATTTTGCAGTTTAGCTTTTAATATACAATGAAGTTCATTTATAACTGTAACATTTCTAATGTATTTGCAGATCATATATTTGACATGAATGCATCTAATTCAGATGTATTTAATACTGTTGTAAAACCGATTGTTAATGCTGCTGTAAATGGCATCAACGGAACTGTGTTTGCCTATGGTCAAACAAGTTCTGGTAAAACATATACTATGATGGGTATTGAAGAAGAACCAGGGATTGTTCCACTTGCTGTGCAACATATGTTTGATGCCATTGCTAATACTACTGGACGCGAATTTTTATTAAGGTTGATATATGCTTTCATTAACAATGAAAATCTATATGATATTGATGTAATCATTATAATCATCTTTATCAAAAGTTATTTAATTTCTAGAGTATCGTATTTAGAAATTTATAATGAAAGAGTTAATGATCTTTTGAATAAAAGTGGAACTGATTTAAAAATAAAAGAAGATGGCAGTGGGCAGGTAGTTCTGCAATGTAAGGAAGAAATTACAAATAGCCCTGAAAATGTGTTATCTATAATGAAAAAAGGTGATAAGAAGAGAAGAATAGGAGAAACTAATATGAATGAACGTAGTAGTAGGAGTCATACTATATTTAGAATTGTAAGTTTATATTAATATAGAGCATGTTTAAATGTAATACTTTAACATAAATTTTCTATTTAGACAGTTGAAAGTAGAGAAGCTGGGGGGGATTCAGATAGTGCTATACAAGTATCACAATTGAATTTAGTAGATCTTGCTGGTTCTGAGAGAGCACGACAAACAGGAGCTACAGGAGAAAGATTTAAAGAAGGAAGACATATTAATTTGTCTTTGTCCACACTAAGTTTAGTGATCATGCAGTTAAGTGAATCACAGGATGGTCAAAAACATGTTAATTTTCGCGACAGTAAATTAACAAGGTTGCTTCAGAGTTCATTAGGTGGTAATGCTATGACAGCTATAATATGTGCTGTGACTCCTGCTGCTTTAGAGGAGACTCAGTGCACTTTATCGTTAGTACATTAATATTTTTAAATTACGATTATATATTTGTATCTTTATTATTATAAGATTTATTTAACCAATTTTTAGTTTTGCATCTCGTGCAAAAAGTGTGAGAAACAAACCGCAGATTAATGAAGTTATGTCTGATGCAGCACTTTTAAAACGTTATGCAAAACAATTATCTAAACTTCAAGAAGAATTACAGGTTTTTAATTTTTATGATAACAAGTTTTTAATATTATATAGTTCATTTGAAATTGCAATTGTGTCAAGTTTTGATTTTAGAGAATAAAAAATGAAAATCGATCTGCAGAAGTTGAAGAAATGGAATCGAAATTGCAAGAAAAGGAGCGCATTAATCAATTACTAGAAGAGCGCATAGAATTGCTAAAAACTCGTATTCTTTCTGGAGATAATATTAGTCAAGAAGATTTAATCAAACGTAAATCTAAAAGGAGGCAGACATGGGGTGGTCCTGGGATATTTAATCAACATTTGTCAACATTTCAATCTAAAAGTGGCTTACCAACCATAAATGAAGTATCATTTGAAAAGCCACAAAGGAAAAGCATTATTCAACCTATGGATATAATGAATCAAAGTAAATTTTCCATATTTTTAAAAAATTTACGCAATACTTTTTTAAAATAAATTATATGTTATTTTCCACTTTATTTGTTGTAGCATTTCAAACAGCTTTTGCTGATTTTGAATTAGAACTATTTGAAAGTGAAAGAGATCGTGAATCTAGAGAAACTATAAGTGACAGCGATGAAGAATTATTTATAACGAAACATAAAAATCGGGTTACATTTAGAGATGATGTGTCTATCAGGTCTAAAAATAATAGTTTTGATGTAACACCAGAAAAATGTAACATGTTTACCCAAACTATAGAGTAAGTAGTAAATATTAACAAGTTATAAAATCTTATAGTATAGTTTTAATATATATGTTAAAATTGTAACAGTTATCAGGCTTCTCCTTCTACACCAAAACATGTTTTACGACAATGTATTACGGATTTAACAAGAGAATTTGTGCAACTTCGTGAATTTACAACTCTAGAAAAACAGTTAATATGTCAAGAAAATCATTGTCATGCACAGGTAAACATGATTAATGATTCATATAGTGAATCATTTGTTATATGTATATAATTTTAATCTTTACGTTTTAAGGAAGGGGAGGAATATTCTCCAGAAACGGATTTAAAGCAAACCGAACAAATAAAATCAATCTCAAAATATAAAGGAGAATATATTCCAGAAGTCAAAGAACAGCTTGCAAATCTTAATCTTGCAGAAGAAAAAAATTTAGTTCGTATAATTACTGAATTATGTATTAAGTTAAATGAAGTTCAGAAACAAAATATTTCTGAAGAAGAATTACGTCTCAAAACAATGAAACAATTTTCAGAATTAGAAAAAAAAATTGAAAATATTACTTCTGAAAGAAATGAATATGAATATATGAGTTGTGAATTACGTGCAGAGTTAAAGAAAAGAACAGCAGAATTAGAATTAAAAATAATGTCAGAGGAAAATACAAAACAAGAAGAAATGAAAAAAATATCTGGAATAGAAAAACAAATTGAGACCACTATTTCAAAAAAAAATGAATTTGAGCGCATTAATGCTGAATTAACAAAAAAATTTACAGAATTGCAAAAACAAATCGAAAACGTAACTTCTGAACGAAATGAATTTGAGCATATGCATCGAGAGTTACGTATGGAATTGAATAAAAAATCTATAGAATTAGAAAGATTTAGTAATAATTCAGAAAATGCAAATATTGAATTAGTAAATAATAAAATAATAGAATTGGAGACAAAAGTTGAAAATATTACATACGAAAAAGATAAGTTTAAACAGATGAACGATGATTTACGTGTTGAATTAAAATGCATATCGTCAGAATTTGAATCCAAAATTACTTCAAAGCAAACAGAAAAACAAAATGCAATCGAAAAAGTATCTGAATTAGAAAAATATATAGAACAAATTCTTTCAAGCAAAAATGAGCTTGAACAGGATAATATAGAAATAAAATCAAAATTAGATAACAAAATTATAGATTTGGAATCAAAAATTGAATTTGAACAAATTTTAAACCAAAAGGTTTTAGAATTTGAAAAACAAATTGAAAAAATCATTTCTGATAAAAATGAAATTGAATGTATGAACAGAGAATTAAACAAGAATATTTTAGGACTAAAATCCACGATTTTGTCACAACAGACTATATACCAAGAGGCAAATGATAAGATTTCTGATTTGGAACAAAAATTGGAAAATGCAGTATCAGAGAAAAATGAATTCCAACGGGTTAATATTGATCTACATACTACATTAAATAAAAAATGTTCTGATTTAGAGGAAAAAATAATATCTAAGGAAACTGAAAATTTGCAGGCATTAGAAAAGATTTCCGAATTTGAAAAACAAATCATGAATATAACGTCTGAAAAGAAAGAGCTTGAACGCATTAATAATGAATTACGTATTGAAATGGAACAGAAAGTTTCTGAACAGGAGGAAAAAATAATAGCAGCACAAAATGAAAATCAAAAAATAATAGAAAAGATTTCTGACTTAAAAACACAAATTGAAAGCGAAACATTGGAGAAAGATAAATATGAGCGCACTAATATTGAATTACGTTCTCAGTTAAATGCAAAGATTTCTGACTTGGATTCATATATAATATCAAATGAAACTAATAATCAAAACACAATGGAGAAAATTTCTCAACTTGAAAATCAGGTTACAAGTTTAACTTTTGAAAAAGATGAGCTTAAACATACGAATAATGAATTACGTGCTGAATTGAAGGCCAAAGTAGCAGAACAAATTGAATATCAAAATGCAACAGAAAAAATTTGTGAACTTAAGAAACAGATTTCAAATACTATACCTGAAAAGAACGAATTGTGCTATATTAATAAAGAACTGTGTGCTAGACTGATTAAAAAAACTTCGGCATTAAAGACAAAGATACAATCGGAAGAAATTGATAACCAGAAAGTAATGGAAATGATTACTGAACTAGAAGTAGAAGTTGAAAATATAACATCTACAAGAGATGATATTGAATATATTATTACTGAATTACGTGTCGAATTGGATAAAAGAGATAATACATTAGAATCAGAACGAATTGAAAATCAAAAATTAATAACGGAAGTCTCCGAATTAAATAAACAAATTGAATACGTTAAATCGGAACGAAATAAATTTGAACACCTGAATAATCAACTAAACATTGAACTTGAAGAAAAGATTTCCGAATCTCAAAAACAAATCATGAATATAACGTATGAAAAGAAAGAGCTTGAACGCATTAATAAGGAATTACGTATTGAAATGGAACAGAAAGTTTCTGAACAAGAGGAAAAGATAGTAACAGTACAAAATGAAAATCAAAAAGCAATAGAAAATATTTTTGATTTAGAAACACAAATTGAAAGCATAACATTGGAAAAAGATAAATACGAGCGCACTAATATTGATTTATGTTCTCAGTTAAATGCAAAGATTTCTGATTTGGAACAAAAATTAGAAAATGCAGTATCAGAGAAAAATGAATTCCAACGGGTTAATATTGATCTACATACTACATTAAATAAAAAATGTTCTGATTTAGAGGAAAAAATAATATCTAAGGAAACTGAAAATTTGCAGGCATTAGAAAAGATTTCCGAATTTGAAAAACAAATCATGAATATAACGTCTGAAAAGAAAGAGCTTGAACGCATTAATAATGAATTACGTATTGAAATGGAACAGAAAGTTTCTGAACAGGAGGAAAAAATAATAGCAACACAAAATGAAAATCAAAAAATAATAGAAAAGATTTCTGACTTAGAAACACAAATTGAAAGCAAAACATTGGAGAAAGATAAATATGAGCGTACTAATATTGAATTACGTTCTCAGTTAAATGCAAAGATTTCTGACTTGGATTCATATATAATATCAAATGAAACTAATAATCAAAACACAATGGAGAAAATTTCTCAACTTGAAAATCAGGTTACAAGTTTAACTTTTGAAAAAGATGAGCTTAAACATACGAATAATGAATTACGTGCTGAATTGAAGGCCAAAGTAGCAGAACAAATTGAATATCAAAATGCAACAGAAAAAATTTGTGAACTTAAGAAACAGATTTCAAATACTATACCTGAAAAGAACGAATTGTGCTATATTAATAAAGAACTGTGTGCTAGACTGATTAAAAAAACTTCGGCATTAAAGACAAAGATACAATCGGAAGAAATTGATAACCAGAAAGTAATGGAAATGATTACTGAACTAGAAGTAGAAGTTGAAAATATAACATCTACAAGAGATGATATTGAATATATTATTACTGAATTACGTGTCGAATTGGATAAAAGAGATAATACATTAGAATCAGAACGAATTGAAAATCAAAAATTAATAACGGAAGTCTCCGAATTAAATAAACAAATTGAATACGTTAAATCGGAACGAAATAAATTTGAACACCTGAATAATCAACTAAACATTGAACTCAAAGAAAAGACTTCTGAATTTGAATCAAAAATCATGTTAAAGCAAACTGCGTATTTAGAAGCAATGAAAAGAATATCTGAACTTGAAAAAAAAATTGAAAATATCACTTCAAAAAATAATGAACTTGAAAGTATTGTTGATGATCGATTACCAGATATAAAAAATTCAGAATCAAAATTAAAAAGCGAATGTGATTGCATCAACAAAAATAATAATAATCAAAAAAATTATATTGAGGAATTACAGAATATTGTAACAAATCTTCAAATAGAAAATCAAGGTATGAAAGATCAGCTGGGAAATTATTCTATTCTATCTTCTTCAGAAATGGACAAAACTAATGCAGATACTTCGCATTTAATTCTAAATATGGAAACAGAAAAATGTCAATTAGAAGAAAATCTTCAATTAAAATGTCAGGAATTAGAAGATATAAGAAACGATGTGCAAAGCCTTACAACAGATATTAAGAAATTGGAGGAAACGATTTATTTACTAACAACTGAAAATACAGAAATGGCCACAAGATTAACAACAGAACAAGAAAATGCAAAACAGACGGAACTTTATCTTCAGAAAACAATTGAAGAACTTTATGCACGTATTTCAGAAGTTACAAATGAGAAAATTACTTTAGATACTGATTTAGCAACTTTGAATGACCAATTGAATTCTATGCGCTCTAAGATGTCAGTAATGTATAATGAAGAACAATTGTTTGGATCATATCAAATTAAGATCAATAAATTAACAATGGAAAACATCGAATTATCAACTTCTATTACAGAGAAGAATAAAGAGCTTGAGAATATCAAAGAAAGCAAGTCACTTTTATACGATCACGATTGTATTTATAAAGAAAAAATAGCTATTATTACAGAAAAGAATGATTATTTACTATTGGAAAATAGCGAACTTTCTACAGACCTAATAGACAAAATAGAAGAAAATGATATGTTGAAGGAACAATGTAATATACTAAAAAGTAAAATAGAACAATTGCTAACAATGAATGAAAATGTTACTGGAAATGATATGGAACATTTAAAAATGACAAATAATACCTTGAATGCAGAAATTGCAGAATTGAAAACAAAAGTAACAATATTGTCCGAAGAAAATGTAAAATTCTCTAGTAATCTGTTGGAAACTATAGACAATCTTGATTCTTCTCAAAATGAAAAGTCATGTAACAATTCTTTACATTTATCAAAAATATTTAATAGTAGTACAGATGTTAATGAAACAGAACAAAAAATACCACAAGAAGAAACTTGTGAAACACTAATAAATAAAGTAGTAACATTAGAGAACAAGATTGATCACCTTGTACGTCTAAACAAAAAACTTAGCGACTTAAAATTAACTTCTTGTAGCCAGTGTGTACATTTAAGAAATTTGAATGAAAGCCGTAGAGCTCTTAAGTTTGAAACAAAAGTTTTAAATCAAAAGTTAGAAGATTTACAAAGAAAATTCGATCGCAAATGCGCAGATACTGAAATTTTGAAAAATAAAATAGATCAAGAGTTAAATTCTAGTGAACATGATGAATCTTTAAATATTACTTTTGTAAATGAAATGAATGTAAGTTTTGTTGAAGCAAGAATAGAAAGTTTGAATGATGAGCTTCAAACTTTAAAAATTGATCATGATAAATTATTAGTTCTATATGAGGATAAATGTGATGAGTTAAAACAACTTCAAAGTGATGTAATTATAAACGCAACCAATCCTGATGATCCTACATCAAGGAAAAGTTTGGACAAAACCGGAAATAGAATAGAACAGATTCAGAATTGTATTGACCATTTAAAAAATGATATGGATAAAATGAAGGAAAGCAGCAAGAATTTTACTGCTGTGCTTAATGAAGTTAAAACTGAAAAAGCGAATTTGTTGAATGAAATTAACAGTTTAAAAGATATTAATGAAGAATTACAACAAAAAATATTAAATAATGAAAGTATGGCACTAAAGAAATTACAAATCCTTGAAAATGAATTGACCAATATGAGTGGCGAAATTGAACAGTTTTCCACGCGAGAAAAAGGATTGGAAACTCAGAGACTAATGTTAGAAGTAGAATTAGAGAGTTTAAGAGTTGAAGAACAAAATAAAAATGTTTTGATTAATCAATTAAATGAACGTGTTACTTCTCTAAAAAGTGAGTTAGATTTAGCTACAAGTCAGAAGAATGAGTTAATTAATTCAGGCACAATTGAATGCAAAGAAAAAGAGTTACAACATCTGAGGAAACAATGTGAGGAATTAGAAAAAGAAAAAATTCAGTGTGAAGAATTAGAACAACATAATATATTAAAGATTAAAGAACTGGAAGTATGTATAAATGATCTTCAAAGAAACCTAACAAATCAAGAATATTTTTATAAAGAATTTCAAAAGAAAAATGTTTGTTTGGAAAAACTTTTGCAAGAAAGGGAGCAAGAAAAATATATACTTACAGAAAAATTACAAATAGCTGAATCTGAAATAATTAATTTTAAGAATAATTTCGAACTGAAACAGCAACATCAGCAACATATCAAAGAATATGAAAACAACATGCAAAAATTAAATGATACCTTAAATAAATATATTAATGAAAATTTAAATTTAACACAAGAACTTGCTAACCTACGACGTACCGAAGAAAAATTTAATGAAATAATGGCAGAAAAGGAATGCATATTTGCCCAACAAAAAATGTTAGTCTGTGATAATGAGAAACTAAATAAGGAATTGTATGACATTAAAAAATGTATGCTCAAAGAACTTAAGTCACTAAAGTGTGATGTAGATATGTCTGACTTTTCAAGTAAGTCCGTAAACGAAATCTTTAAAGTCTTACTACAAACACTTGTATCTAAAGAAGAAGAAGTAATTAAAACCATGCAGGAAGTATATGAAAGGAAACAACAGAAAGTGGAAGAAGAAAAACAACAATGCATAGATACAGAGAAACGTGCTGTTACATGGATCAAAGAACTAGAAGCAGAAATTGAGAAACTCCAAACAGAGTTATTGGAACAAGAACGTGCTCATAAGGAATATCAAAATAAAATATCTCAATTAGAGCATCTTCTAAATGAAAGTAATCACGAAAATGAAATGTTTAAAGAAAAAATTCAATCATTAGACACAGATTTTAATAATTTACAAAATGAATTTGAAAAACAATGCAAGGTTGATAGTCAACAAGAAGAGGCAATTTTTATTGCTCAGAAAAGAGAAAAAGAAGTACAGGAAATATTTAAAGATAAAGAAGTAGAATTACAGTTGAAACTTAAATCTGAGAGTGAAATGTATGAGAAAAAAATGAACAATCTCGTACAAACAATAGAGTCATATAAATCAAAAAATTTAATGTTAAATAATACTATTAATGAACTTCAAGTGAATGAAAAACAATTAAAATATATCATTGAAGCAAATTCGATTGAAATAAAAAGAAACAACAAAAATGTGGAAAAAATAAATGTAGAATTTGAACAACTTAAGCAATCTTATACTCAAATAAATGAAGAACTTGTGCATAAGAATTTGCGCATTGAAGAAATGACGGCAATTTTAAAAGATAAATGCGATATGTTGTCTGAATATACAATAAAACTTAAAACAATTGTTCCTGAATATGAAATGTTGAAGGAACATGTTAATGATCAAAAAGTAGTCATAGAAAGATGTAGAAAAGAAATTGAAATACTAAAAAAGGATAGAGAAGACCAATTGGAAATTATTAAGGAAAAGTTAAATTCGGAAGAAATAAAAAATGCTAGACTAAGTAAACAGTTAAGCGAATTGAACAATAAAAATGTCGTACTAATAGAAGAATTGAATAGCTTGAAAGAAAAATATGAAGATCTACAAGAAGCAAATGCAAAACTAGAGAGGAAAATTAGAAACAGTACTAGCAAAATTAAAGCAGAAGCAGAAATAGAAGAACTAAAAGAATTGAATAAACGATTGCAAAATAATTTGGAAGGTGCGAGTAATCGTGTAACGGAATTTCAAGAGATTAAAAATCAAACTTTGAAAGATTTGGTTGATGTACAAGGTAAATACGAACTAGTATTGCAAGAAAATAATGAACTAAGAAAGTCATTCTCGTTATACAAATCGAAATACTCAAATTCAAGTTCATGGATAGACGAAGGTAAATACGATGTACTTCTTCTAGAAAAGAATAAGATAGCATTAGAATTGGAAGATAAAAAGGTAATGCTAAATCAGAAAGATAAAGAAGTTAAAGAATATGTTAGTCAGATACAACAATTAACCAATAAAAATAAAGAACTGGATGAAGAATTAGAAGAATATGCAGCGATAATTAGGGAACGAAATACCGAAATCTCAGAACTAGAAGCTAAGTTGTATTCTCGTTTATCAGAAAATGTACTTATTAATGAAGCAGAAGGGAAATTAAAAGGTCTTAATGAAGAAAATGAAAAACTTCGTGATCAGATTGAAGCACTCAAAATGAGATTACAAATGAATGTAGAAGGAGACGTTAAATTGCAAAATGAAAACATTATACGAGCATTACAGAAGGAATATTTGGAATTACAAATGAAGCTAAGTATTTATGAGAAACAGATAGATGGTAATCGTCTTAAAGAAATAGATCAACTAAAAAGACTGGATAAAACATTTGAAAATGATTTAGGAGGCACAAGTATTATGCGTGTTAAAGAACTAGAGGGAGAAAAGAATAGAATAGTAAAGGAATTAGAAGCACACAAATTGTTACTGAACCAGAAGGATGAAGAACTTAAAGGATATATAAATAAAATACAAGATTTAACAACACAAAACGAAGAGCTTGGTAATCAGTTGGGAGAATATGCAACAATCATCCGTAGTCGTGACGCTGAAATTTTAAAATTAGAAACTAAGTTAAACTTATGTTCAATAGAAAACGAATCAGATAATAATATAAAACAACAATTAGAGTCTTTGATAATGGAGAATGAAAAACTTAAAAATGAAATTAAAGAGCTTCAAATGATATCAAGCAACGAAATACACAGTGAAAAAGATATAATTAAAGATAGTAAAAGAAAACAATATAATACTATAAGATCTGATAGAGATATTAATAAATATGAGAGTAAGTGTAACCAATTGGAGAAAAAGATTCATGAATTAGAATTGCAGTTAGTTTCAAAAAATGGAAAAATTGCAACATTAGAAATACAAATTCAAAGTGAAAATTTTCCATACCAAAGAAAGTGTAAAGAGTTGGAAGAAGTTGTACTCGCGTTTCGTAGCAAGGTATACTGTGAGATATAATAAAAAACTTATATTCCTAAATATATATAAATATTTAATTTTATGTACAGAATGCAGAATTGAGCAATGAAGTAAGGAAGCTGCGAAAAACTGTGAATGATGTTAATACATGGGAATGTGATGTCTGTAGACGATGGTATGTAAATAGAAAAGATCAAGCTTGTCAAACAATACCCAACAATGCAGTGCGTTTTTGCAGTACTAATAGTGGAGTTGTTGAGGTACGCAAAAATATCAATTTACTTTAATTTTTAATGTGTTTACATTACTCATATTTGGAATTGTAATGTTTAAGCAGGATCATGTGAAAATTCAAAAATTAGAAAAAGAGAAAATGCTAATGAAAGATTTATGTCGCTCCCGATCTAGACAAATAAAGGAATTACAGGATAGAATAAAAGAATTGGAAGAAGCGCAAAATTCACCTACTTTGAGAATGCATGAAATATTGCAAGATAGATCTAATCAACAGGATAACAATGCCACAAAATTCAAGAGGCATTTGGATGTTGGAAAAAATTCAAAATCATAAAATAATGTAAAACACGTCATCATTAATTATACATTCTTTTTTATGCGTACAATGTTGTGCAATGAACGCGTATTTTACCTAATGATACTATAAAGTATTACTTCATGATTTCTGTATTATATGTTTGTATATTTATTATAAAAATGTAAATAATCGCGATTGAATTGATAATAATTTGTATTGTTATGAAATTTGTAATTCAAGTTAACGATTTCATTAATAGATAATTGACATACTCACATAATTAATCATTAATAAATAAATAGAATATTTTCATAATTTTATTATCATATAAAATCAAGTTTATTAAATAACTTTACTCCACATATATATATGTATATATAAGTATTTTACAAACATATGTTACGTTACATATTCGCCTTTCATTATCGTCATGTCCTAATATCTCACGATTCATTATCTTTCTGTTTCTTTACCTTATAGTTAGGTATGAATTTCTTTGGCCTTTTTTCACCAATTTTTCTCGCAAATAAATCTACAATAGAAATTTAATTAAATATAAAATGTTAATCAATCGAATCATTTCAAATATGTAAGATTGAAATTACCTTTATCAGGTTCTTCCCCTACTTCATCGCGATAATATTGCGCGTCATCATCTTCTATATTATTTTCTTCAACTGATTCTTTTGCAATTTTTTGTAACAATATTTCACTTTCTTTTTTCTTTTGCATTCCCTTCAACGATTTTTCTTTATGTTCTTGTTTCTGTAATTCTTTCTTCTTTGTATTCTCTTCTTGAATTTTTTTCCTTTTTTCTTTTAATTTCTTTTTCTTCTCCCGTTTTTTCTTTATTAATAATTTTTCTTCCTCAGATTTTTGAATGTACTCGTGATAGAGTACTTCACCATCCAGAAGTCCATCTTCAACTTTTATCAACTAAAAATATTTTAACGAGTAGTACTAATTGGAAATTTTGTTTGAAATTTATTTAAAAAAAAAAAAGAAATATTTCTAACCTCTAGCGTTAATCTAGGACCCAATTCAGAAAGTTTAATTGCACTTTTATTATTTGCATGATTTCCACGTGAAGACAATTTTTGTGGTAACGTAACATGATTCGAAGGATCATCTTCAGCTTCACTTTCAGAAACTGTTCCTTTTGTTAAGAAGTCAGAAAAATCTTCACATTTAGATAAATTTGGAACTTTAGCTTGAACTAATTTCTTAACACCTTTTGATAAACCAACAGGTACTACTCTAATAGCATAATGCCTAAGGTCAATGGTTTTTGATATAGGATTATAATTTAAACATAAACATCTACGAATTGTACTTAAATTTACCTATGAGAATAAAAAAAATTCTATAATGTAAAAGTACAATATAAATTAGAAATAACAATGTAAATTAGAATTATTGTCTGAAATAATACTTACTTTAGTCAAATTTATTGTTGGAAACATATTTTGAAACATAGAAGCAATAAGCTTCAATTGCATACCTTCACCACTAAAATTATTTAATATTACTAATGGAGAATGCTTAAATAATTCTTCATATACCATTTGCTTTTTTAGTAAAGATATTATATCACGTGATAAAGAAAAGCTATGTATTTTGAAAGTAAGCGTTGGTCCTCTTGGTAACCTATTTAAAATTTGTTTTGGATTATTCAATAATGTTTATGATAATTTATGATATTTTATGTATTTTTCAAGTATACATTTTAACAACATAATTGAATGTATTACCTGCAAAGTTTAAAATACATTCCTTGCTCTGTTTTTGTAAATATACAGATATGTGTAACATGAAGTATTCCAGCAATAGATAAAAAATCTTTAATAGTATTTTTTTTTCTTTCTTTCAAAGACTTTGCTGTGAAAGGATCCATGATTTTACGAAAATCTTTAGTTAGTTCACCAATATGTTCTCCAGGTAAGCCACGATGAATAATGAATGAATGAGGTGATTTTATTACATCTGGATCTTCTTCTATATTAATCTGTTTATTTCTTTTTACACAACGACCCTGCATTAATATTTATTTGAAATTAAATCTGTTGTATTTCTTTTACCGATTTTATATTCTAAATCATAGCATCTTATTAAAACCATTTATATAATATATACCGAACATTTGATTTATAATTGCATTTTATAAGTTTTTATGTATCCTACAAAATTTGTAAATTCAAATTGGATAAATAATTACCTTTTTTCGGCGTCCCATGATTACTTCTTTATATTTAGGTTAGGATGTTTCTCACGTGTAAACAACACAATGTTGTAAAGTTGTCACTACTGTTAAGCAGGTTGAGTACTACACGAGAACAAATAATAATCGAAAAACCACTATCATTTTTTTGCCATTTAGTCAGTTTTTTTTAATAACTATTCAATTTCATTATTTTAATATTAAAATTGTAATAACTAAATTGAAATTTTTATTTTTTTCTGAATTTTTTTAGTACACTTCAATGTTTCCATTAGAGTTTTTTAAATATCTTAAGTACATAGGCATAAACTATTACATTTATATTTATAAATAACATAAAAATTTATTTTAATACATATTATATGCAAACATGGAATTGATATACATTTATCGATGCTATAATTTTTCGCAGTTTGGTAACAAAAATTTGCGACTAATTTTTATCTTTCACTTTTTTTGTATCTTTAATGTAATGCACACTAACAACAAATATTTATTCAATTTTTATGAATGAATTATTCCATGTTCTCTTTCTATTTTCTCTCCTCTTCATTTGTGTCGGATTTTATTATTTTCGAGTTGTTAAAGTCTAAAGCCACGTAGAGAGTACAATAAGAGATCGCGAAACCATCCAACTTCCCTTCTCATTCCATTATGAATCCTGGAAATGACTACGGTTGTTCACCGCGTGGAAGGATTCATTGTCTGGAAGCGCGGGAACTTCGGTGCGACTTGTTAAGCGAAGAAAACTCTTCTCACGGTGCAAAGTTCACGGCCAACGCGTCGATCTTTATCTACCTAGCCATGTCCGGGGACCCCTCGAGTCATTACACGCTAAAATTACGTCGCCAATAATGAGGATGTAAAGTCTTCGAATAATCTCGCTACCACGTCCTTGCCTTTCTTTACCCTGCAATTTTCTCAACGCTAGCACGTCCGTTATCGATCTCGCATCTTTTATTTATAATACAACATAACGTTAACGATATCCACTATATTGGAAAACTACCGTAAGAAACTCATTTATGCTTCTATTGTTCGCATCTCCGTTCTGTATGATCAAATATATTTTGCAATTTGTTGTGTTCTAATATCATATCGATACATTTACACGTGTTCCCTATCTCTTCGTTCCACATCCTTGATTCTGTATTTAATACCAAATAGAAACACTATGATGCGTTAAGACAATAACTCTAAGTGCAAAAGGAAGATTAATCGTAGTAATGTCTTAGTTGCAGGAATGACTCAATATCAATACGATATAAAAATCGTTCGCCTTTTGCTCTTCAGGAATCAAAGTCTCCGAAGAAAGAGGCGAAGGTTCTTTATCGTAGTTCCGGCTTCATCCTTTGGTAGTTACGCTTTGAGCATAGTGATTCGTCAACGGCGACGCGGATAATAGTCGCGGTACGTTGCACCGGCTGCGTCGAGGTAACGTCTGCCATATGCCAAGCTGGAAACCGGCCGTGATTTTTGCTGGCATCACTGCCGTAAGGAAATCGAAAAACAGAATGTAAGCTCGTTCCTCCACTATCTAATAGATAGTTAGACTTATGTACATATATAGTAATATTTATCTAAAACTTTCATTGTTTATTCGATTTCTTAAACATTACTGCAAATCTTTTGACACGAATAGGTTATTTATAGTCAAATGAATATATAAGCTTTAATATTATATTTCTGTATTTGTATTTTATATTTTATAATCATTTTTTTTCTATTCTTTTTCATTACAGGAATTTTTGCATTGCCGGATATAAAGAGAAGAAAGAAAACAAATATTGATCGACAAACATATTTCAATAAACATTCCGATATATTCACGTTTTATAGTTTTATGGGTTGTTGCCTATTATCTAACTCTTTGATTCTACAACTGCAAATGACTGGAGTTGCATGAAGTATAACAAAATGAATAAAAACGTAGATTTCATACTTCAAGCGAAACGATTCAAGTCGGTTTGAAGCACACCGTTGCACCTGTATCTGTACAATGCTCTTTCTTGGTACCCTTACGTTACTGAGTTTACCTCTAGAGTGTTAATAATGTTTGATAAATTATTACGAGAGGTTTATCTGTGAAAAATGAAGGAACAAAAATGGATAAACCGTAATTGCATTTATTTTGTTTCAATAAAAACCATGCTTTCAGAATTTAATAAAAAACAGAATTGATTCCATGCATTATCAAACTTAATATCCATGTTTTGAAAAATTAAAGTACAAACTTTTTAAACAGTTATTGTATCATACGTAATTTATAATCTTTGTTTAAACATAAAATTTATTATTTGTAATAAAAAGAATAGCTTATTTTTTGTTCTTTTTTCTTTAAAAATCTTTCTAAAGATCTTTATACAAATGAAAAAATTAAAATTTTATAGTTATATTAATAAAATAATATTACAAAGATATGTATGTATAAAAAAAACATAATTATGTTTATTAATTACGTATTAGATACGTAAGTCACTTTTTCAAATAATGTTTCGTTTAAATTAATAATAATTAAGTATACATATTTTGTGTATACTTTATTCTGTTTTAGAAGCATTAGTAAAATCTGAAGCAGTACAGTTATAACAACAGCTCTAATTCGATTCACTCGACAGATCAATGTGCGAATTTATATTAGGAATTGCAAAATTACTTAAAACAGCAGGCTTGGCGTTATTAGTGTGATACGATAACGAAGTTGTACTACTATCGCTAAGATTCGTAACTTTTACTCCAGGCGGAAATTCTGGTGTAGATTCATAATTAACAGTTTCAGTGCCATACATTTGACATTTAATTTTCTTTGTTTTCTTTATTTTCTTTGTCTTCAATTTTAATTCTTTCAATTGAGTTTGTTTCTTTGGACTTTGTTTCATTTTCTCTTTTTGTACTTTCTTCTTTATCAAGCAATCGGGAGTAATACTTTTCAATTGAAGTACAGGCTGTATAGATACATCATCTTTGCTTAGAGACTGCTCTTTTCTTTTTGTATCTAACAATCTAGTTTCAGACGTGCATCTTTCGAAATTATTTTCTGCCGAAAAATCTTCAACGATTTCGTTACAAAGTAAATTGTCTAATATCGAATAATTATCTTTCTCGCAGAACTTTTTGGAATTTTCATTGGAATTTTCCTCGTCGTTATTATTAAAAAAGGTTGTATGAGTATTATAATTAGAACGTGCAAAAAATACCGACTGCCAGAAATTTATTTTCTTTTCTTGTTCTTTTTCATCAATTTGTTCATCCTTACTATAAATATTACTTTTATTTTCACTCTCTGATATTGTTACTAATACATTGTCTAGATCAGATGTGAAACTGTCATTGAATATTCTCTGCAGAATTATATTCTTGTTTTATTATTTTAAATACTTATTTAAATAAATAAATAAAGTTTCAATATTAGTTAAAATTTAAACATTTCTTTATTGAAGGTTAAACATATTCAATTGAAAGTAACCTGTATTTCTTGTATTAATAATATGGTTAATAATGACTTAATTTTCTTTGCAATAATGTGGATATGTTTGAAAATGTATTATATTAGCAATTAAATGTATTTGAGATTAATATTTTTTAATCAAAATATGAACTTACCGACTTTCTTTTAAAGTATTGAAGTCGTACATGTTCCGGTACTGGCCTGATCCACGTGCTACATTGTGTTCTTAAATTGAAGAAATACGTCTTTCCCGGATAACTTATGGACTCGCATTCAATCCAATTGTAAGTTTCTTGAAAATTGCCAAATTCATTGTTTTGGGAATTCTTATGATTTATATTCGGAGATTTACAATCACGAGATTGAAGCGTATCAGACGACCTCATTGCTATACAAATAAATCCAAATCATGATTACATTAATATTAATGAAGGTAGAGGCGAAATATAACCATTGTCTTACGGGATTTCATGACATACGAAACAAGGCAGCAATAGTGATAGAAGTTTTCGTCAAATGTTGCAATCGATCTAATCACGGCAATTGATAAAGTCAATAGATTTAAAAAATCGTTTTTTATTACATCCATTTAAAGATACAAATGTCGTCAAAATGTGCGGTTAAAATTATTCACAGTTTGCCAGCAACACTGAAACACGTGTGTAAAATGAATCATTTCTCAACGAAAAATGTTTTTTTATATTTTTCATTGTCGTGTAATAAGAATGTTATCACTTTGTAAGTTAATGAAAATAAATGTAAATATAACCTCAAAATTTCTACATTAATTATAATATTTATATTAATTAAAGTAATATAACCTTTATTGATTAAAAATAAACACTTACATTTTTATAATATTACATATTTATAATCCTATTTAATACATACATTAAATGTGATCATTTTTATCGCGACTATGTCATCTCACCGAAGTAATTCTTTGCAATTATATTATTAATGGTAAATTATTCAATGTTTTCATTTGGTTAGTGTCACTGTCTCAATCAACTATGTATGTCTCTCGCCATCTGTAGTGGGATGAACAAATTATAGAAGTATTCTATAGTTTATTCACGATTATAAGATATCCTTTGCTATACCTTATTTATAATTTTATAGTTAAATTTATTGTTAATTCGAACCACTTCTAATGTCACAATTTTATTCTATGCCGAATCGGTAACGTCGTGGTTCTAATCGTAAGATTGTAAACGAGCTTCTCGTGTAGTGAGAGAAAAGAGAATATATCGAGTGATAAATCTATCCTGTGTATCGTTTATGGTAATATTTCGTGCGTGCAACGTTTTTAATTTGTTCAAAGTTTGTCGCTCAAGCATAGACATTACCATTAACATACTTCGTTAATTTGGATTGCAAATCCGGCTTGTGTCAAAAGAATCGCACGGAAGTTCAGCAGGTAGCAAAGAGGTACGTACGCGTAACAATTGTTGTACGATATTTCCGTTTGATTCTATCTACAAAAGAGTAACAAGATTCGAATCTTGTTATGCTCGTTTGTTACGGTTAATTTATGGTTTCCAAAGTTTCGGCAAGTGAAAACACGAAGCGTATTTAGACGAATGA